GTGATAGCCTTAAAATATATTTTCATCTTTAATTATAAACTTTACAGCTTCAAAATTAGTGTAGATCAAGCCGATCTATGAAAACTTGAAAATCTTGAAAATTGACAGTCCAAAATGCATTACAAGATGCACTATTTCCAAACCTTGAAATCCATTTTTTTCTCATGCCCATGCATCTTGATGTCGAGATGATCAATTTGAGGATATTTGAGCATCAAAACAATATCTTCTAGTGAAATTTTTGAGGTGGGCTCTAATTTGATTGTTTAGAGCCTCAGCTCTATATAAAAATTTTATATAGATATATATATATATGAGAAATGATTCTATAAGACCCTCCCCCACTCATGTGTGTAGGACCCCAAAGGATCAGCATTAAATTTGGCACGGATCTATAGAAAAGTCAAATCTCACACCCATGTGATAACTTTTCTAGAGATCGGTACCAACTTTAATGATGATCATTTGGGGTCCTACACACATGGGTAGGAGAGGGTCCTATGGGATCATTACTATATATATATATATATATTGTTCACACTATAAATTGAGTATATCATATTATATATTTCTTTGAAATAAGCTATATTTTAGGCGATAAGATGAGAGAAACTAGACTTAGGTTGGGTGGCCATGTGTGACACAAACCCAGTACAGCACCTGTTAGGAGGTAGAAATTAATTCAAGTGGAATGCTCAAAAAGGGCAAATGGTATGCCCAAAAGGACATGGTGGGAAGTACTTAGAAAAGATATGGTGACTTATGGCCTCACTGAGGGTATGGCCCTTAATTGAGTAGAATGGTGGACCAAGATTCATGGAGTCAACCCCCATTAGTTGGGAAAAGGCTCTGATGATGATGACTTTAAAATAAGCATATTTTAAGTCCACGTATATCATATCATTATGCATATATACATAATATTTTTTACACCCAAATTAAAATAAGCTTATTTTAAGTCCATGTATATCATATCATTATGCATATATATGTAATATTTTTTACACATCATGTATATTACAAATATTCTATGAGTGTCTAGTATTGGAATTGGCATTGCATCATATTCGCACCAACACATTAAGCATATATAAATACTAGGGAATCTCTTGGCCTATGGATATTTTAAGGGATAGAAAACATAAACATTAAGTACGTACTACACACACACGGCACAAATCTGAAGGCTGAAGTCACATGAATCTAGAGTTCATGCCTTCTTGAGAAAGTAAAAATAGGAAAATTGATTTTAATTTTGTCAGTCTATATACATGGACAAGCAAGATTTCCAAGTTTGCAGATATTAAAAAGCAAAATAAGCTTTTCACAAAGAATTCCCATAAAAGAGGAAAGCACATGTTGTTGCTATATTTGTTGACCATTTCATAATGACACTTTTAAATCTTGAAGGGTGTGACAAGGAAATTCCTCTAACATACAAATCAGTGACAGGTAATAAAGCATGAGTACGAACATAATTATAACAACCAGTAGCCCTAAGTGTAATGAAACAAGACAAGGAAATGATTTAGTTAATAAAACTACTTAAAAAAGCATGAAAAAAATGAAGAAAATCCATTACTATTATAGGCAACACAGAAAACAGATCTTACCCATCCAGCATCCAGTAACATCGTCTTTGGAAATTGGGATTGTCTTGTCCATGGGCATAATAGCAATTCAAAGCATCAACATTTCCAACCTAGACAATATGAATTTTGTAAACAAACATAAGTTCCAGCTAAAAAGAAACACCTCATCTACGTGATTATTCAAACAATAAGCTTCCAATAGAAACTACAAAACAAATAGTTCACTTGATTGCAATGTCCAGTTTCTCACACTTCAACTTATATAAAGGGTGCATTCATATTCTGGTTAATTTTCGGAGGCAAATTTGTTGTCGCAAATGAAAATCGACTTCTCTTTACAATTAAACATGTCAATACAACAGCATCTAAATGCAAAGCACCATGAATATTTGTGTTTATCATTTAATAACCTTGAGTCGTTCATGGGCTTCCCCCACAGTCTTTCCATCTCTTTTCTTTCTCCAATTATGCCCATCCTTACGAAAAAACCGCTGTGTCCGCTTATTGAAGAGATACAAAGAACCACCTACCAACAAATTGGTCAAGTTTCAATCATAGACTTCTAAAAGAATGAAAAAACTACCAGATGCTTAAAACATATCTAGGTGGCATGCACGTGACAAATTAAAAATCTTTCCTCTCCACTCTTAACTAGCAAAAAAATAAATGGAGATTCCACAAGAAATGAACATATAGAACTTGGCTAATGGTGGCCCAGAGGTCAATGATAGAGAAAGACGGTTACTTGGAGGCTTGTCGAGTAGCTTCTCTGTGATTTCGTAATGATCATTGTTTTGGAGAATAAAGTGAACTTCAGCAGGTTTCAGCCAACGACTGCAAGCCTCTTTTATTAAATGATTGAAATCAAACTCTGCAAAATTGACAATTAAATTGTAAAAGATGATCTATAGATCTATTTGATATCCCAATAATGTACTCATAACCATGCAAGTTGCTATTGTAGAGCAAGAATTGCAAATAAAGAACAATGTGGAACAGCTATTAGAAATGGAACTAATAGATATCATAATAATGTACTCATAAAATTTTCACTCTAAAAAGATTTGAGAGGTTAAAATGTAAAATCTAGGATGATAGTCACATGGGCACCAATGCAGAGCATGGGTCTTAGGGGAAAACATGGTGACCATGATTTTCAGAAGAACATTAAGCAACCTTCATGCCAGCCAAACAAATTACATAGCCAAAATTCCAATCAAAGTGATAATAGCACATATTTAGAATCTTGGAAAATTAGAGAGAGAGAGATACCTCAATGCCTTCAGGCAGACTTTCTTACATGTTTGCCACAAGGCCCAAGTGTTGGGCATAGCACTACTTAGAATATACCTTAATTCTGTGAGAATAGCCTCCATATAGTTTTAAAATCTCCCTCTCTCTCTCTCTCTCTCATATGCAAGCAAAATTGCAAATCAATTACTGATCACAACAAATACACAGCTACCACAACAACCACATTACCATGTAGAATCATCAAGATTCCTCTCATTTCATTTCTAGACCAGAACATTAACCTCATAAATGACCAATGCCCTACAATACCCAAGAACAGCCTACCCAATGCAAAGCATGGGTCATACATGGAAACACAGTGACCGTGATATTCTGAAGAACATTAAGCAACCTGCATGCTAACCAAACAAAATAAACTCCCAGTCAAAATGAAAACAGTGAATACTTAGGAATCCATCTTAGACATTTAGAGAGAGAGAGAGAGAGAGAGAGAGAGAGAGAGAAGTAATAGTGTGGTAGGTGTCTCTACGTACGCCGGTAACCTAATTAAGTAGGAGTAAGGAGTAGTGAGTAGTAGTAGTAGAGTAGGTAACGG